GGCCCCGCCCGCCGCGCCCGCCCCGCCCGGGGCCCCGGACCCCCGGGCCCGGCCCCGAGCGGCTCCGGGACGGGACAGACGGAAGGGCATGGGGATGGGGACACACGGACAGGGATGGAGGGACAGGGACACAGGGACAAGGATGCAGGGACAGGGACACAGGGACAGGGATGCAGGACAAGGATGGGGACAGGGATGGAGGGACAGGGACACACGGATAGGGATGCACGAGGATGGGGACACACGGGCAGCAATGGGGATCCATGGGATGGAAATACAGGGACGGGGACTGGGACAGACAGACAGACGGGAACGGGATGGGGACACACGGACATGTGCACAGGTGGGAACATGAATCCACGTGAGGAGGGACAGCCCAGGGACTCGTGCATGGGGACAGAACCCCACAGATGGTGACAGGGGACACGGGGACAGGACAGACGGACGCCAAGGTCCCAGCCAGGCAGGGCACAGGTGGCAGAGGGTGCCGTGAGCCCCCGTGGCAGTTGGGGGTGGCCCGGACAGCGATGCCAGGCTTTGGGGACACAGAAGCCATGGTGCCACCCCAGCACAGGACCGGGAGCCTGTGCACACACCACAGGGCCTTTGTCACCAGCTGGTGTCACCTGCTCGTGGCAGAGCCCCACAACCCCGGGGGGCCCTTGAGGGGACACACTGGGGGTCCTAGTGGGGCTGTGGGACACTCAAGCTCTGTCTGAGCCTGAGTGGGACCAGAAGAGCCCCAGGGTGACCAAAGCCGGCTCTGTGTCCCACTGCTGACACCAGGCACTGGAGGGTGACTGGTGACACCGAAGGCCTGGCAGTCCCTGTCACAGCCAGGGGCCGCTCCTGCCTCCCCCCCACCCCACTCCTGAGTGGCAGCAATTAAAATCCGCAGCCTCTATTAATAGCAGCCAGCGGGCACGGGGCCACGGTGGCACCCACGCGTTGGCACCGCGTCCCCAGGGGAATGGGGAGGGGGGAGAGGGCCCGGGGACCTCGCCCCGTGAGGTGACAATGCCCGGGGGCGGCGGGGGGCGGTGGTGGCAGCCCCAGTCCCCCCCACCCGCCGCGCTCGGGGCCGGCCGGATCCTCCTCGTTAGAGGCAATGAATGAGTTTTCCTTGATCATTTTCCTGCGGCTCCTCCTCGTTCCATTGAGCCGCAGCTCCCCGCCAGGCCTGACGCAACGGGGCGGCCGCTCACGCAGGGCTGAATCACGGCGCTGCCGAGCGGGGGGTGCTGGGGGGGGGGGTCCTGTCCCCCCTCCCCCGGGGCTCAGCGGGGCTCTGGGAGGGTCTGGCCACGGGGGTTTGGTTGCCCAGGAGGGGCTCAGCCCACGCCAGAGCCGGGCACGTGCGGCCGCCGCGTGAGCCGGACACGGAGCAGCCATGGGGGACATCAAAAAAAGCGAGTGACAGCGAGGGGAGAAGGGCAGGGAATTTATTGGGAGCAGCAGGGCCTCCTCCTCTTCCTCCTCCTCCATCCTGAAGGATGAACCCCCCCAGGGTGGCGGGGTGAGGATGGGGGAGCTCAGCACCCCCCCAGTCCCAAAGCCCATCAGGAGGAGGGTGTGACATGGAGGTGACAGCCCCAACACGCGTCACCTCTCCCCCCTGATCCCCCTCCAGCAGAGAGGTCACCCCCCAAGGGAGCTGAAACAGCCCCGAGGTTTGCCCACACCGAGGCAAATCACCAAATCACGTTCTCCTCATCCTGCTGCTTTGTGTCATGCCAGGCCCAAAATAACCTCCCTCCACCCTCCCCCTTTTCCACTCCAGGTTTTCAAAGGAAGATTAATTGACTCGGGGATGTTGCAGCAATTAAACTAACGAGCCCCAGGATCTGTCAGATGATGCTCAGCTGCCTCCATATGCTGCAGCTGGGCCACCACCGAGGCTCGGAGCCTCCTTCCCGCTGCCGGCACTGCGCCATCCTTATAATTCCATCAGCGCTTCCAGGAGCCCGGTGGAAGCTGCTGCAGGAGTGAGGGCTCTGGGTAATTAAAATGCAGCCCCTGCCTGAGCCAGGCTGTGTTAAACTGCTGGAGGGGGGAGCACATTCCCAGCTCCAGCCTCTGATCCCAGCCCCTGGCTCCCAAGGGGAAATCCAGCGGGATCGGCAGCTCGTGTCTCTCAGCAGAGCCTCCACTCCCCCCACCACAAGGGAGGTGATTCCATTCCTTTGGAAACCTGGAAAAAGCCTTGGAGCAGCCCCTGATGGGGCTTCAGCCTCTCTGACTGCAGAGCACTGAAAACACGAGAGTTTGCCCCAAAATGTCAGCGCTGGGAATTGTTACTGCCTGTTTCCTGCAAGCTCACGGATTCCACGTTCTGGATAACGTGAGGATCTGCTCCATCCCCGGAAGAGTCCAAGGCCAGGCTGGACAGAGCTTGGAGCAACCTGGGATAGTGGAAGGTGTCCCTGCCCACGGCACTGGATGGGCTTTAAGGCCCTCTCCAACCCAAACCGTCCTGGGATTGATCCTCTGAGTTTCAGAGGTTTTCCTTAGGGAATGCTCAGCCCATGGAGACGATGCTGAGAAGGAAGCAGGGTAGAGAGGCCCAGCCTCATTTCTTCCATGAATCCCTGGGAAAGCTGAGCTCCCCGAGCCCCAGGTGGGGCAATGGAAGCTGTGTGGAGGCAGCAGGGCCTGGAAGGCCAGAGCCCCACAGGGATGTTATTTTTGGCAGCTCTTACCACCAGGTCTTGCTCCAACTAAGCCAGCGAAAGCAGCTTAGTGCAGCCTGGCAATCCCTGCTCCCACCTGCTCTGCCTCCATTCCTGTTCGTTCCTCACCTCCTCGGAGCCTCTGGAGCAGGGTCCTGGCCTGAGGGGAAGGAGGGAGAGCAGGCTCTGGGCAGTGCAGGGAGCCACACACACTCCAGGAGCTCTCGGAAGCAGATTTTACCCGGATCCTTAATGTTTGTGTCCGCTAATCCCTGCAGCCCCTCGGGCAGGAGCAATCCCTGGGGATATTCCTCACTCTGAGCACCCGGGAAGAGATTCTCCTCCTCCTCCTCCAGCTCATCATGGAAACACCGCCCGGGTTGGGCTGTCCCAGCGGGGAAAGGGGCGGCTCCTCCCGCTGCGGGTGGGAGGGGAGAGCTCGAGTTGTGCTCCCTTGGCTTCGGGAAGCTCACCACGGGATGAGCACCAGCCCGGCCAGCGCGGCGTAGCCCAGCACCAAGCACAGCACCTTGAGCAGCCGCTGGCTCTTATCCTCCAGCTCCTTGGCCAGGATCTCGAAGAAGGTGATGAAGAGGAAGGTGCCGCCGGCGATGCCCTGCAGCAGCAGCGACGCGATGCTGCCCGCGGCATTCCTGCTGCTCTCGATGCCCATCCCGATGCCAATTCCCAGCGGGATCATCAGGCACACGGCCACCGCCAGCTTGGCCGCGTCCCTCAGCGCCAGCGCCGCCTTGGCCATGCTGATCCCCAAAGCCACGGCCACCAGCGTCTCGTGCACGGCCACTCCCAGGAACAAACTGACCACCCTGCCGCCGTCCTCCTGCAGGCCCAGCGCCAGCCCCTCGAAGATGGAGTGGGTGCAGAGGGCGAAGACCAGCCCCAGCAGGCGGCGGGGGCCGCAGTGCGACAGCTCCGGGAGGCTCAGGCTGTGCGGGTGGGGGCCGTGCTCCCCGTAGAGGGCACGCCCGCGGGGCGAGGCGATGAAGGGACTCTCGTACTCCGAGTCGCTGCCCGCGTCCGAGCCCGCGTTGAAGGTCTCCAGGTCGATGAAGGAGGGTTTCTCCTTCTGGAAGGTCAGGAAGAGCTGGTCCACGAAGACTGACAGGAAGAAGCCCACCATCATGATGGTCTCGGCCACTGGGTAGTCTGTGGTGACATTGTTCTGCCTGAGGACTTCGTCGAGCTGGAAGGGAGCAAAAGATCCAGCCCTTAATCCCTCTGGAGGATCCACAGTGGATCCATCCCTTTTTATCCCTCTGAAGGGATCCATTTCCACATTCCCACAGTGAATCCATCCCTTTATCCCTCTGGGCGGAGACATTCCCACATTTCCACAGTGAATCCATCTCTTTATCCCTTTTCCATAGATCCACAGTGAATCCATCCCTTTATCCCTCTGGAGGGAGACATTCCCACAGTGAATCCATCTCTTTATCCCTTTCCCACATTCCCACAGTGAATCCATCCCTTTATCCCTCTGGGCGGAGACATTCCCACATTTCCACAGTGAATCCATCTCTTTATCCCTTTTCCATAGATCCACAGTGAATCCATCCCTTTATCCCTCTGGAGGGAGACATTCCCACAGTGAATCCATCTCTTAATCCCTTTCCCACATTCCCACAATGAATCCACCCCTTTATCCTCTGAAGGGATCCATTCCCACACAGACACTCCATCGACCCACGATGCTGCCACAGACACCAGCCTTGGCCTTTGCCAGGGAATCTCTCCCTTGAACCCGTTGGATCCCCACAGCCTCCTCTGCACCCCCCAAAATCTCCAATTTTCCACGGGGAGCAGCAGGAGCCGAGCACAGCCGAGCCAGCAGAGCTGTGTGAGGCGGGACACAGACCCTCGGTGCCACTCCCAGCTGGGCTCCTGCGGCACGCCCAGCGTTCCCCCCAGCCCTCACCTTCCCTCTGACAGCAGGCAGCAGCGCGTTGAAGCACGTGGCCAGGAACACTCCGCCCCCGAAGGAATTCCAGAGGGCCAGCACCCTGCGGGAGCGCTGGGCCTTCTCGTAGTCGGCCTCGATGAGGCGGACGGGCAGCAGGGCCCCGGCCAGCAGCAGCACACAGATCCCCAGCAGGCACAGCACCTTGGCCACCACGATCCTCATCCTGGCCACCAGCCTGCAGGGACCTTCTGGAGGTGCTCAGAGTGGAGACATCAGCCTGGACAGACACAGGAGTTGCCTAAAGGGTGGGAATGATGCAGAGTTATTTGGTTTTTTTTTTCCTTTATGAGCCATAGGGAGCAGCAGGGGAAAGTTCAGATTGTATTTAAAAGGAATTTTAAAGCGCTGGAGTTGTGGTTATTCTTCCCTGGACTCCCAAGTCCTGTCCTTGGACACTTCCAGGGATGTGGCAGCCACTGGGAAATCCTTGCCAGGGCCTCCCCACCCTCCCAGGGAGGGATTCCTTTCCCAAATCCCATCCGTCCCCTTCCCCAAATCCCATCTCTCCCCTTCCCCAAATCCCATCTCTCCCAGCCCTGTCCTGCCACCCCAGGCCCTCTCTAAGGCACAAGGAGAGGGATTCAGAGCCCAGCAGGTGACTCTGACTCACTCCAGGTCTGACCAAGCCCAAAATCTGGGCCCGGGCACCTCCCAGCCCAGTGCCAGGGCAGAGGGAAGGGATCCAATCCTCCTTTCCCAGAGCTCACACCTCTGCAACACACCTGGCTCACTCCAGAAACCCTTGAACCTCTTTTTTTCCCCTTTTTTCCCTATTTTTCACCCAAAGCAGCCCCCTCCAAAGCCTCAAGCTCCCGAGCTCAGGTGGAACAGCCACATCCAGCATTCCTGAGTGGGGCTGGAGCAGCTCAGAGGGAAAGGAAGCCCCAGGACAGGCTGGTGGTTCTCACCTGTTCCTCCTGCACACCTGGGCTGTGTCCCCAGCCCCAAAACTGCTGCTACAAGGGATTAACTCAGCTCCAATTACTGGCTCATAACGAAGCATCCAAGCGATTAAAAATATTATACAAAGCAGGCAGGGCTCTGTGGGAGGAAAAACAAAGGAGTTCCTCATCCATGAGCCTCCAAATCCCCGTGTTTCTGTTAAAAACCGGCCCTGCCAAGCTTTTTTGAAAAAGGAGGTGATGGGGAAGGGGCTCCTCCCAGGCCACCCCGAGCACACCCAAAGGGAGCAGAGGTGAGGGGAAGGGGTTCAGGGCTGCTGGGAGGGGGGCGAGCAGCTCAAATGGGGAGAGATCAGCTGGGAAGACCCTCAGAGGGGGTCGGGGTCTGCCCTGAGCCTTCCAAGGTGAGGAGGGGGAGCAGCTCCAGCCCCTCACAGGCAGATGGGGCCCGGCCCGAGCCCCTCAGGATGGAGAAAGGGTCCGGCCCCAGCCCCTCATGGCGAGGAGGGTCCCAGCCCCTCAGGATGGGGAAGGGGCCCGGCCCCAGCCCCTCACAGGCAAATGGGGCCCGGCCCGAGTTCCTCAGGATGGAGAAAAGGCCCAGCCCGAGCCCCTCATGGTGAGGAAGGCCCCAGCCCCCTCCCAGGCGCCCACCGCCATCCCCTCACATCCAGAGCGACCCCAACCCCTCAAGTCAAGGTTGGGGTCCAGCCCCTCACACAGGCCCAGCCTCGCTGT